ATATAATAATGATTATATAATATAATATAATATAATATAGTTGTAATTTTTAATTATATTATAACTGAAATATTAATATTTTTTATGTAATATTATAATATTTTTATAATATTATAATTATATTAAGTATTTTAATAATAATATTATATTCTATATTATAATGATATAATATATTATATAATAATAGTTTTTTTATTATATTAAATATAATATTAAATATATATTATATTGTAATTATATATATTATATTATAATATAATATAATATAGTCGTAATTTTTAACTATCTATAACAATTCAACCTCATAATTTATCAAATACTATTACACTGATTTTAAAATAAACACAAGTATTATAATTATAATTTACTAAATATTATTACACTGATTTTAAAATCAAAATAATTATTATAATTATAATTTACTAAATACTCAATTATTTTTTATAATAATTATTTATTTCTTTAACATAATTAAAAATAATTTTTTTAAAATTTACAGCACTGTTGAAAGTTAAAAAATATTGCTAGATTATTTTAATATTAATCCTCGATTGCGATCATTTTTGTCGTCATTTCAGAAAAACGACGGGCAGGCCAAGGCCATTTGAATTCTTATTTTTTTGGGGCTAATGAAGGCCTGCAGATTGGTCGAACTCTTACTCATAACGGTGTGGTGCAATGAAAAAAATGTAAATCCGTTTGGACATCAAACGTGGGGACTTTTGTCGGCTGTTGTTTCGTGAAAGGAGAACCGTACGTGGCTTTAGCTTTTGACACAGGCACACACCGTACGGTAACACCAACTTACAAACAAGCATAAGCTGATGAGCTGATGAGCTGATGAGCTGCTGAGTGTTGAGGAGAGAGAAAAATATCAGCAGTTGTTACTTTTTTTTTTTGGCCACTTGACCAGCAACAGCTACTCCAAATTCACTTTCCCATTTTTGTTTTTTTTATTTTTTATTTTTTATTTTTATTTTTTTACCCTTTTAGTACTTTTCTATTTCTGTTTGTTTGCTGTTTTAATAAGACCGTCCCCTCGTCATCGTTCACACTCTCTCTCCATTTCTCTTTCACAGCTGTGCGTCTTGGACTTCATGGTCCGGGCTTTGATGATCACCGCACTCTCGTGAATAGAAAAAGAGAATTTTCTCTCTTGGTGGGGTGGGTAAAGGCAAAAAAGAAAAGAAAAAATAGAGAGAGAGAGATAGGAGGTCGTGCGAACTATCTCTTCGGGTACGCTAAGTTCTTTTTTTCTTCTTCTTCTTCTTCTTTCCGTTTCCCACTCTGCCTCCTTTTCAATCTGCAAATCTCTATTCTTTGCCTTTATTTTTCTGTTACGAGTTGCGATTTGTTTATATTTCGATGATAATTTTTCGCCACTTTCCTGCTCTTTTTTTTTATTTTTTTTTTGCTCGTGGATTTTGGTTTTGACGATTCCAAATTTTTTGGAATGCACAAGGTCCTGCGTTTTTTTTTCCTTTAAAAAAAAAAAGAAAAACCTAGGACTCTGTTTTTTCACCCAAATTTTGTATTTATTTTTGGAAAAAGATCAGTAAAGTTTTCTATTTTTCATTTTTTTTTTTATAATTAAACATCAGTAAAGCTGAACTTGAAAATTGGACACTCGCACAGACAAAATGTTAGGCAGACATAAGTGCAGATTTTCTGTCTCATGGACTCATGTATTCTAATTTTTCGTTCTCTAAAATCTTATTAAAAAATTGTTATTTATATGTGTAACCCGATCTTAAATTCCTTGTCCCCTTCTTTTTTCCCTTGAAGTGGTTGGGTCATGTTTCGTTTGTTGATATGAAATACGATTCACTTAACAAGCCTTTCATTTGGTTACTATTCACTCCATTTTCCGACATTTGGAGACATTAGGGATTATGTTGATCGTATTATTATGATTTTTATCTTTAAAAAATAAACTAGAAATTTTAATTTAATAGGTTATTTGCAAGAGCATTTTACTTGTTTTGAACGTCAATGCTTTTTTTTTTTTTTTAAAAAAATCTTTGTGCTGAATTCTTGCTGTGGCGTTTCTTTTCTGAACGCAAATTGTTGACTTGGGTACTACTTGTTTAAATGTTCAGTTCAATTTTTGCCACTTTTTGACCAAGGAATCTTGCTTGTCCAAATATTTTGCACCTTAGATCTGTTTCGCTTATTTGCTCACCATTTCTTTGTTTGACACAAGTGATCTTGGCCCTAAAAGAAAAATTTTAAAACATTTCTTGCATAATAAAAGTTAGTCCATTGTGATACATCTTAAAAGCTGAAGTTAGTCCTCGTTTGACAGATTGCAAAATGAGTGGCATGTTTCGTCGACGGAGTAATTTTCATCAGGAACAGGAGAATGATTCATCACAGCAACAGATAACGGTATGCCTGGCTGTAGTTGATTTCTGCAATGAAGCTTCAGAGACTAAAAAAATACGTCTATTTGAGATAATGTTGCATATACTTGTTTCTAATATGCCAGATCAACGAGCTCAGGGCTGCGATTGGGCCACTAACTGGACGCAGTTCACAGTACTGCACTGATGCGTGCTTCAGAAGGTACTTGGAAGCTCGGAACTGGAACATAGAAAAATCAAGGAAGATGCTGGAAGATTCGCTTAAATGGAGATCGACTTTTAAGCCCGAGGAGATCCGATGGGTAACTAACAAAATGAGCAGGTCCATTTTCTAAGTTTGCCTATAAAATTTTACCGACTACTGAAGCATGGTTGTGTGTGTGTGTGTGTGTGTGTGTATTTTGGTTGTTGTTGTTAGGATCAAGTTGCAATTGAAGGTGAGACCGGAAAAGTCTACAGAGCAAATTTTCATGACCGGCATGGGCGGAGTGTTCTTATATTGAGACCGGCTAGACAGGTCAGTATCTGGGTGAATCACATTGAAAATTTGTTGATCTGTTTGATTAGTATTGAAGACTAATTGCGTGCTAAAACTATTTGCAGAACACCGCGTCATTAGATAATCAGATGAGACATCTTGTGTATCTTATAGAGAATGCAATCCTAAACCTTCCAGAGGGTCAAGAACAAATGGCATGGTTGATAGACTTTACTGGGTGGACATTGAGCACAAGCGTGCCGATTAAATCAGCTCGAGAAACTGTCAATATTCTGCAGAACCATTACCCGGAGAGGCTGGCTGTGGCTTTTCTGTATAATCCCCCGAGGATTTTTGAAGCCTTTTGGAAGGTTCGAGTTCTGAACAAAACCTGTTTTTATCTCTCTTCTTAGCTGATGTTAAGAATGGCCAACAGACGGTAAAAGTGATTTTTGGTTCATTGTGATGATTGAACAATTTGAGTTCTTGATCAAGGCAGGTTAAAATCTTACCGATGTATCGGGTGTGATTGTGGTGATATTCTCACTAGAAAATAGAATGTTGGGATGTGATGTAGAGAGAAATACATTGTCGTGTTCAGTCCTAGTTCCATGTTTGGACTGTAAGGGATGTTCTCCGCAACAACACAACTCGGATGTTTCACTGACCTTTTTAGTACTTTAACATTGCATCTCTAACAACATTTGTTAGTTGCTTCTTGTTCCTCTTCGAGATTTGTGATTCTCCATTTTTGCTATTGATGTAGATTGTGAAGTATTTCTTGGACACCAAGACCTTCCACAAGGTCAAGTTTGTTTACCCTAAGAACAAAGATAGCGTGGAGCTTATGAGACAGTACTTTGATGAGGAAAATCTCCCAACGGACTTTGGTGGAAAAGCCGTATTGGCGTATGACTATGAGGAGTTTTCAAGACAAATGGCTCTAGATGATGCCAAAGCAGCTGCTTTATGGGGTTCCAATGAGAAGCTCAATCATCCCACCAACGGCTATTCTGGTGCTGTGGCGGCTCCGGAACCACCTTCCCTTGCACCACCAGCCAGCTGAACTGAGTCGGCCTATTTTCCTTCTGATGTTCTGAGAACTAGGAAATTCTCTAAATGCCTTGAGGATTTTTTTTTTTTTTTTTTTTTTGGAGTAATCTATAAATGCCTTGAGTTTTAGCTGAAAAATATTATCAATTATCAGCTAAATTAACAAGGAGATTACAATCCTCATGTTGTTTAGTGGTAAATGTGCGTCTGTAAGAGCAAGATCAGGCTCGGATTTTAAGAAAACTGTACTTTTAAACATGGATAAATCTAGGTATCCTGGGAAACTGGCCAATCAAACATCTGGAAAAATGAATGATTGGATGCATGTCTTTGTTTTAGTGATATTTTTCCTATTTTCAAGAATAATTCACAAAGCAAGTACGTTTTCTAATATTCGTTTCTGTTTCTTTTCCTTGTGGGAAAAGCTAAAATCCATGGTTAACTTTAAGAAGTCCACATTATTCTACTACTGCAAATTAAATCCAAACACTTCATAAACTCTCCAGAAAAAGGGTTTTATTTACAATGACAGTACAACTTATACAAGCTTTAAATTAGTCATTCTAACTTTGAGAACACAAGAAAAAGATTTATTTCCCCATTTGTATAGGAATCAAATATGTCACACTTTTTTCTAAACAAGCATTACCGCATTACGAAACTAACAAAATACACCCGTAAACAAAATTTTTTTTTCCAACAGTCGGCTACACAGTCAAAATCTTCACTTTCGATGTCAAGGACACAGACGAAGTTAGCTGCCTTTATACGATATATATTATGCGTGAACAAAGTGGTCGTCACAGAAGCCTCCTTTTGAAGTTCCGAGTGGTTGTTTGGTAGGTACGAACCAACAAGCCAACGCCTATACCAATTCCAAGGCAAATGCCAAGTCCAATCCCAACCCCAACTCTAACTCCAGCATTGAACCAGGAGAGTTCACCATCTTCACCTTCCATGTATTCTGTTCTCCTCCAATACATGTTGTTATAATCCTCCTCATTTTCTGGTTTATAGTTTCTGTATTCCGCCAACTGCATATTCCAAATTTAAGAGAGAGTTAAAAGTCAGAAGCCCAACAAGTATAATTAAGTAGAATTTAGAAAAACGAAAACAATGTACAAGCAGATTGTTCAACAACACAGACAGTAAGCAAACTTTTCACATTTGTTCTGTTTGCATCTTCTTTTACAACGAGTAAAATTGAAACAAACAGAAAATACATGGGCCAACGACACCGTTAAAATAATACACAAAGACTGAACTCTCTCTCTCTCTCTCTCTCTCTAACTACTAAAGAGATCTATAGTTATAAAATATGAATGTGAGCAGAGGCAACTAAGAAAAGTTCAATATTCTGTGTCGAAATTTTGCAAGAGAGCAAATTATTGATGTGGCGTCACAATTAAAAAATGATAACAACACTTTTTTTTAGTAGAAATGATAACAATACGTTGATGCCTTATCTAGTTGAAAACTTTCAGCTAAAGCGACGGAAATCGATGCATGTTGTCCACAATCATCTTCTCTACTCGTTTCCAAGACACGTATGAGTCAAAGTAAACACTTATAAAAGCAAATATTTTGGACAAAGCCAAATAGTTTAATGGATAGAGATAAGATGACAGAAACAAAGATTAACAAGCTGGAGATGGCTTTTTTTGCTTATGAAACCAGAGACGCTTATTTTACGGAAAACCCAACTTCTGTGATGGAAGTACCCAAACACCTAAGTAATGTGTGGGCCCCATGGTGACATTGGCCAGCCCATGCCACGTCTGTGTTTGGCAGAACAAGGGTGTTGAAAATAACGCAGCTAAAAAAAATACAAATGAGTACTATCCCATGACTTGAAACCCGTGCCCTGCCCATACTCCATTACATATCTAGGATAAGATTCTTTTGGCAGTCCTCGTCCAAGACAAACTGGATTTCATCTGACGGGACATGTTCATAGACAGGAATCACAACAAAAAGGTAACCATATCATGCATGAATGAATAGCTCAAACAATGTCTTTCATTTACATCCTAGAGGTTGCTGGGTCATTTCATTGATTTATGAGTTATGACTAAATGGACTAGGAAACCAAACTGCAACGCTAAACCATAATCTTCAATAACATGCTAGATCTTTATCAATGCCATAAATGAAAAATGCTATAATGCTGTGAGGTACAAGATGAATCAGTAATTGCTTGCCAAGAAAAAAGATGAATGAGTAATGTAAAATGAGAAAGCCAAAAACCACATCACAGATATCCATCCTCCAAATCAGAAGTTCTTCGGATCATTACCTGCAAATCAAGTTCTGGAGCCACATCTTTCTGCGATTCAGTTGTTTCATTCTCTGGTATTGCATCCAACATCCCCTTCCTGATGTGCTTCTTACGGAAACAAGGCTGCAAAGTCTTTGTCAAGATAATCGGCGTTCCAGAAAAGCAACCCGCAACATAAACCTCAATCGTTGGCGCGGGCAATTCCGTGCCACCAAGATGTTTCCCTTTCAGGAATCCTGCCGCAGTGGTTATCTCTGATTCGCAGTTCATGCTCCATCGCTTGGCACTGTTTTTCAACTCCCCAACAAACCCATTACTGTTGGACATCTCAAGAACTCCAGAGAGAATGAGATCGTCTTTATCAAACACCTGGAATTTCAAACTCCCAGTTAACCTTATACTGTCCGTGCTCACAAACGTGGCCTCCTCGGATTTCTTATCCGCGCGATCCCTTCTAAGAAGGGACGAGACTCCGTCGGAGTAAATGCTGGCTCTAGAGCCATTAACTTCCAAAAGGGTGTCAGGGCTTAGAGGAATATGGTTGAGAGTTAGAAATTCCGGTGTTGAATCATCAACCTTGAAATTACTGACCCTCACATAGAACACTCTCAACTCAAACCATGGCGGTGATAATTTAGTGCAGGGCTGGTAAGGAGAGTATCTAATAACCTGGAGGCCTGGATCAGCCGCTTCGCCATTGATTTGTGCTTCACAAGAACCTTCCATGGCTAAGGAGCTCATTCTTCGCTGAAACCTCTTAATTTTCTCAGCAGATTGAACTCAGATCGCCATTGAAAACCTGCTATTGAATCAAACATAATAATTTGGTATTCATAAAATCAAAGGAAAAGGAATTAACATAACAACGACCCATAAACCCTAACGGACAAACTCCAATAGAAGACTAGAATAGAGAGATACCATAAGAACAGAACAAGGTTAAATATAGCATATGCCAGTAAATTTAAGCCTAAAAGAGAACCCTAATTTTTAGGAACAGAAGGAAAAAAAAAATTTGTTTGAACATAAAAAAAGAAAAACAATAAAATTTCAGAGAACAAGTATTTGCACACTCCTAAATGGCAAATCCAAGTGGAAAAAACAGAAATTTTCACGAAGAGAGGAAAATAAAAGCGATCGGAATCAATTATAAAGAAAAACCTCGGAGAAAGCCTAGAAATTTAATCGTTTTTTATGAAAATTATACAAAATGAGAATTTAACAACGAAGCTCATAACAATCACAGAACAACAACATTGAAAACCAAAACAAAAAGAAAAAAAGAAAAAACAGGGAAAGAACCCACGAACCGCATCATCCCACGATATAGAATTATTCCAAGAAGAAAAACTATGTCTTCGATCTTCGTTTCGTCGAGTTTGGAAACGAAATCCCCGACAGGAAAAAAAAATTAAATTCCTAAATATATCAGAGGAGACAAAAAAAAAAAAAAAAAAAGGAAGGAATGGAAAAAGAAAAAGGAAAAAATAAACACGTCTCGACAAAAATAAGCCTACGATTAAGGGTTCGTTTGGTTGGAGGATTCAAACCATGTGATTCGAACTATTTTTGATTTACGTGTATTTTTTGTGAGAGAAAATACTGTAATGAATCACAAATCATGATTCAAATCAGGGAACGAATCCCTCTACTAAATACACCCTAACAAATAAAGCACACGTCAGACAACCGGCCAAAACGTCTCTCTCTCTCTCTCTCTCTAACGATACAGAGCCACTGACAAAAGTACCCACTAATTCCGATCCGCAAAAAATACAACTTTTCAGTAATAATAATAATAATAATAATAATAATAATAATAATAAACATACCATTGAATTCTTCCATCCACAAATCTCAATCTTTTGGCAGTCGCTTTATAAATCCCAAAATCAAATCCTATAGATAGAGTGACTTCTCTTATCGCTTTCGAGCCTTCAAGGTCAGGGATTTAGATGCATACCCACTTAGAAAGAATTTTCGTGGCCACCAAAAGTCTCTATGAAAACAAATAAATTATTTTCTCGGGAATGAAAACGAAAAAATAGAGGTGGGGGGTAATCTGAAACTCTCCAAAAGAAAGAATGGTCGAAAAGAAGGAGAAGGGGGAGAGATATAGATATAGATATAGTGAGTGAGTATATGATGTTTTTGAAGAAATGGGCTCTCTGGTCTGATCTTATCCGATCAGCAGGCGTAGAATTTGCATTCACGAGGCTGGTGTCCCTGAAAGGGATGGGCAAACATAGGAATAGATATTTAACGACTAATATTATTATTTTCGTTTAATATTCTATTAATTTATTTTCATTTTATTCTTCCTCTTTTTTTCCCTGGGAAAAACTATAGACGATGAATAATATGCGAATATAATTATGGCTCATTTTATCGATTTAAATTTTATTATAATAAAAATTTTAAAAAATAATAAAATTTAATTTTTTAATATAATAAAAAATTATTACATAAAATTACATATTAATTTAAATTAAAATTTAAATTAACAGACTAAATAAACTTTACTGTAACGTTTATTTTTTATATTCGTTCATAATTTTAAATCATAATTCATGATTCTTTACAGTATTTTTTTATTATAAAAAATACACATAAAACGAAAATAATTCTAAATCATGAATCCAAATACATAAATCAAACGTCCTCTGCATGTTAAAAGTATTTGCAAAGTGATCAAGTGGGTCATGACCGAAAATGGAAATTATGAAAGAAAATTTGTTTGAATCTGGTTATGAAATATGAAGCATAAGGAAAGTTTTATTTGGGAAAAAAAAAAACGGAAAAGAAAATTCTGAAAAGATATAGAGTGGGCTGATTTTGGATGGCTCCCTGGTTATTGGGCTTTTTATAACCAAGTAGAACACGACAACCTAAACTGGTAAACGCAGAATAAACCGATTGTCAAAAGGCTAACCAGTTACCAATAGGAAAGCAATTGGGAGATATGAAAATATGATAAGATTTGAGATGAATTAAAATTAATAAGATAATAGTTTACATAAGTTAATAAATAGGTAAAATTATTATTTTTATCCATAACTTGTCTGGTTATAAACTATAACTTGACAAATTATTGTCCATAATTTACGATTTTTGTCCATAATGAACTATAACTTGACAAGTTATAGTCTATTAATTTCTATAACTAAAAGTTTGCTTATATACTTTCTTAAATTTTTCATATTGACCTATTTTCTACTATTTCCGAAAGCAATATTAAAGTATATAGAAAACAATGCTGCAACTATAAACGACTTAACACTATTGAGGTCAACTGCTGCAACTATAAACGACTGAACACTATTGAGGTAAACTTTTGTCACTTATTTTTCACCGTACACATATCAACATGAGTTTCAAAGAATGAGAATTATTCATGAAATCAGCGGCTGAAATGAGCTGCAAGCCGCCGACAGCTCGCAGAACGGACTATTAGAATAACAAAACTAACGGCTCATTAAATGAGTCGTCAAACGGACCAACTAGCTTGACATCTGAGATCTGCACCGAGGATCCCTTTTTACATGAATATTTTCAATATATTTTCTGGGATCACGCCTAAAAACAGTAAAAGGAAAGCCAAATATCATATTAACTTCTTCTTATGCATTCTTTATACATGGAAAATCTTCCTAAAGGGTTTTCAATCAAAAGTCAAACTGGAAACTACTGCAAGACATATTTTCAGCCATAAAGGGCCTATAAATGGAGACCATACACTCCTAAGACAGGGCTTCACGCATTCTCATACCTGCTCTCAGACTTCTACATATTTCACAAAGCGAACTACATACTTTTTCATACTTTTCATTATTTTTCCATCTTATTTTTCTCGACTCTTGCGGAGAACATCATTGTCCTTTCATTCTACAAATATAGTGGAAATCCCAAAGACCTAACATCTTTTTTATTTTTATGCTGATTCATTTCATTGCAATTGGGATACTAGCATAATCATCCGAATAACTTAATTGTAGAATTTCACCCTATACAAACACTTCAAACGACAATGAGACATCAAGACATCAGAGCCAAAAAACAAAAACAAACGACAAAAACACGTGTAAACGACATGAACAACATTGACGAGTAACAACTGCTCTAATTATACATAACAACGACCTCGATAATAAAAAGTAAAAACGACGGCAAATAGCAGAAACGAAAAGTTAAAGTTAAACGACAAAAAAAAAAAAATAGAATCATACAACAGATACATTGACAATTGACAAATTACAACAATAGTAAAAACCACAGATAATCATGAAAACAACAAAAGATCAAATGACATTGACACTTCCGTTTTTAGACGATAACACGTATCTGATCGTAACATGTAGTTGAGCTATGTAAAAACGACAAAAATACGTAAAACAACAAATAAACGTGAAATACTCGGACGAACAAAAAGCAAACGAAAGTAAATAGCACTCACAAACGACAAAAAGGTAAAAAGGACAGAGAAAAACGACAATAAAAATACATGCGTAGAGGGGGAAACTTAAACATGAAACGAAAATTGAAGGAACACTGGGACTTATATTTTGGCTTTTTTGTACGGTACTTATCTATTTTGGCTTTGATTTAACTAGAAAACATAGTGTCATTTTCTTTTTTTTTTTCCCTGAAAAAAAAAAAAAACTGTAAGTCCTAAGTCTCAACTCGTCCATAATTAATTAAAGCAGACGCATTCCAACTTGCTCGAATGGCCCCGCAAATTTTGCCGCCGTAATTGGACGTCCATAATAATTTCTTTTTTGTCTAGATAAAACTATAAAAAGTGAAAGGGAGATCTCTAACACGCTTGATATATCGGTAGCTTAGATTATTTTAGTTCTTAGATTTGTGTATTCATTAATTTTTATGTAATTTTATGCAGATCTAACGGATCTAATACATAGTCTACCAGTATGTTCGTGTACCGAAATGGTCCTAAAGTGAAAAAACAAAAAGTCTAAAAGAAAATGAGTAATTATACTTGCACCCGATAAATTTATTAATGTCCCTAATAATTCATAATTTACATTTATTATAAGTGTTTTTGGCATTTAAATCAGCATTTTTCTTTTTTTTAGGTCATTTTTTTGCAAACATGCTCAGAAAAATTAAAGAATCATGTCTGCAAAATTTTAGAATACTTTGAGGTCATTTTTATTTTATTTTATTTTTTAAAGATGAAAAAAGAGAAAATTATAAAAAATAGAATATTCATCAAAAAATGGTGCCGCTTGTTGAAGTAATTTCTCAAAATCATGTATTAATTTTAGAATGCAAAACATAAATAAAAATGTGAATTTTTAACCCATTCCGGCCCCTGGGCGCCCCACTACGTGCAGGCCGGAGGCTTTTTGACAGCGTTTCTCTTTTTTCATTTTTTGAGGCCAATTTTTGCAGACATGCTCAGAAAAATATAGGGATCATGTCTGCAAAATTACAAAAAATTGTGACGCCGTTTTTATTTTATTTTATTTTTTAAAGATGAGAAAAAGAGAAAATCATAAAAAATTAAATATTCATCAAAAAATAGAGTCGCTTGTTGCATTAATTCCTAAAAATCGTGTATTAATTTTAGAATGCAAAACAAAAATAAAAATGTGAATTTTTTACCCATTTCAGCCCCTGGACACCTCACTGCGCGAGCCGAGGGTCATTTGCAGCGTTTTTCTTTTTTCATTTTTTAAGGCCATTTTTTGCAAACATGCTCAAAAAAATGCAAGGATCGTGTCTGCAAAATTTCAAAATATTTTGACTTCATTTTTATTTTACTTTATTTTTCAAAGAAGAAAAAAGAAAAAATCATAAAAAATAGAATATTCATAAAAAATGGAGTCGCTTGTTGCATTAACTAATTAAAATCATATATTAATTTTAGAATATAAAACATAAATAAAAATATGAAATTTTGACCCATTCTGATCCCTGGGCGACCCGCTGCGCTGCCTGGGAACTTTTTTATAGTGTTTTCATTTTTCATTTTTTACAATATGCTTAGAAATATATAGGGATCGTGTCTGCAAGATTTCAGAACTTTTTGACATTGTTTTTATTTATTTTATTTTTTTAAGATGAAAAAAGAGAAAATCTTAAAAAATAGAATATTCAAAAAATGGAGCTGCTTGTTGCATTAATTCCTAAAAATCGTGTATTAATTTTTGAATTCAAAACATAAATAAAAATATGAATATTTGACCCATTCCGGCCCATGGGCACCTCACTATGTGGGTCGGAGTTTTTTTTTTTTACAGTGTTATTTCTTCATTTTTTGCAGGCATGCTCAGAAAAATATAGAGATTGTGTCTGCAAAATTTCAAAATATTTTGACCTCATTTTTTTAATTTTATTTTACAAAGAAGAAAAAAATAAAAAATCATAAAAAAATAGAATATTCATCAAAAAATGGTGCCACATATTGCATTAATTCATAAAAATTATGTATTAATTTTGGAATATAAAACATAAATAAGCATGTAAAGTTTTGACCTATCCCCGTCCCTAGGCGCTCCACTACGCGAGTCGGGAGCTTTTTGACAGCATTTACTTTTTTTTGTCCGGTTTTTAGGTAAGTATTTGTAAACGTGCCCAGAAAAATGTAAGGATTGTGTCTGAAAAATTTCAGAATTTTTTGACGTCATTTTTATTTTATTTTATTTTATTAAGTTGAAAAATAGAGAAAATCATAAAAATAGAATATTCATCAAATAATGGTACTGCTTCTTGCAGTAATTCTTAAAAATCATTTACTAATTTTAAAATGTAAAACATAAATAAAAATATAAAATTTTGACCCATCCTGTCCCCTGGGCACTTCACTACGCAGGCTGGGGGCTTTTATACAGCGTGTTTCTTTTTTTTTTTCATTTTTGTGGCCTTATTTTTGCAGGATGCCCAAAAAAATGTAAGGACTATGTCTGCAAAATTTCATAATTTTTTGACGTCATTTTTATTTTATTATTTTTTAAAGATGAAAAATAAGGAAAATCATAAAAAAATAGAATATTCATCCAAAAATGGTGCAGCTTGTTGCATTAATTTTTAAAAATTGTATATTAATTTTAGAATGCAAAACATAAATAAAAATGTAAAATTTTGACCCATCCCATCCCCTGGGCGCCACACTACGCGGGTTGATGGCTTTTTGACAGTGTTTTACTTTTTTTGGCATTTTTTGTACCCATGCCCAAAAAATATATATGGATT